CTAATCTCACCAATTTAAAGCTTTGTCACACACCCTCAAAGAGAGAAAGTGGGTCCCTTGAGCCATTCTCACAACATAGATCTCCCTTGCCACCTCCAGAATAAGTAATTTAGGGAAATCTCCGACAGCATGTGCCCAAATCATCAACCCCAAAGAATCAATCCTTGACCACGCATGGAGGGGTATCATAAAACATCTAACATTCTACTATCTCGCCACTTGCAGTCTAGATCCTTTCTCCATCTCCATGTTCCATTGAATCAATTGCAATGACTTTCCATTAAAGTGAATGGAAAGTGAAAATTACCTCTTTTCAGCACTCTCAGGGCCTCCATATCATAAGCTAAAAAGAACAAAAGATGCTCCCTTGTCACAAGTGACTCCTACACCACACCAACATGCACCTTTCGTCGTGCCCTCAGCATGCCTTTGGAGTGTCATTGTGTATGTCATGGGTGGGCTATCTATGTATTTTGTATGGGGGAACGCTAATGACATTATTGTAATTACCTAGTATAATTTTTCACCATTTTGACGTTTCCTTCTATCATTCTCCCAAAAGCTTAACTTACTCTTTGAGGGGAGGTAGGTAGTTGAGTGGTGCCAATACTATGTAAAGATTAAGAACGAGGTCCCCTTGACACAAACTTGTGTGCTTGTGCTTCCCAACATTTAATGCAATACAAAGTGCTAACTAATTTGTGTGCCTTCTTATTGCCTTTTATGTGTTATTGCTTGCATTCGTAGGCTCACTCGACCTAATCGAGTGCCACATAAGACCTTATCAACTAGCCCTGTGACAGTTGGTATCGGAGCAGGTTGCTCTTCAATGCATCACAATCCTTGTACAAGGACACTAGCGCTGGTGCAATGAAGCACAATAGGGAAGTCATGGACGAGATACAACTTGGGCTTGCCTACGCTTATGAGACCAATCAACCACTAGGCGATGAAGCCATTGTAGAGAAAGCCCCGAAGGGCCACACATCCAAATTGAGTGAGGATTACAAGTCGGTTAACAAGCTTGTTTCCTTCAACACACGCCACCCCTCGTTGCAAGGTGATAGTTGGGAAGATGTGTGATTGAGTGGAAGAGATCCACCTTAACGTGGAAACCATCGAGAGCTCCATGGTGAAGCTAGAAGCCCACTTGAACAAGGTCCAAGATGTCTTGAATGGCACCCTCAAGGAAATCCTTGGTACATCATCCCGACAAGAAGGGAGTTCATCTCGAACCAACATCCAAGACCAAGTTGATGAGATGGGAGCTTAATGGTCGACATGGAAAAGAGTCATGCCTACACCCACAGTCGTTCAAGCACAATTAAAAGACATCAAGAGAGAGTGGGTGACCATGAAAGTTGCCATAACCGCCCCTGCTGACCTCCAAGCATAACTGAATGACATGAGAGGAGATAAGGCACTCCCAAAGAGAGCAATGGCCAGCACTCCTAGCCCCTCCACAATACTATCCCTTTCTCACGTGAAGATTCGGGAGTTCATACCTTATGCTAGCTCCCAAGATGCTCAAGAACTTGACAACTTCTTGTGGAAAACAGAGCAAGAAGATAGATAGATAGATAGATAGATAGATAAATAGATGGGCTGTTTTGAAGCTTTATGTGTTAGCATTAGCATTGATGAGGGGTGATTTGGCCTGACCTACTAAACAGTAAACACGTGGATGCGACCTGCTAATTGGACTGTGACTCAGCATTTCCTACTATCTCAGCGCCACCTGCCACTTCAGTGGGCCAAGCCACCTTGGGTGTCTCGGACACCTCGGGAAGGACCGAGGTCTGAGTAGCTCGGGGTCGCCCAACTTATCGAGGTGACACATACTAGACTTATAGAAGCATGCCAACTGTCTACAAGCTCTTTGGGATCATGCCACACGACCGACAGGACTTATCCTCATCCTGCCCGGATCGGACAAACACGATAGGCTTTATCGACTAACACGTTATCCACCTCCCAGGGCGGAATAGACTCCTAACAACGCTGGCCGAAGATCTCGGAGGTGTTTCGTGAAACCCACGACAACTCATCTATATAAGGGCACCAGCCCCCAGAACCTAGGTACGTGCGATTATTGCTTACTAGCTCTCATACTCTCAAGTTGTCATTTCGCATACAGCCAGTTACTTACTTAAGCATCAAAGTGACCACGTCGGGTTTGCCACCCGGGTTCTCTGATCCTTCTTATCTTGCAGTTCGACCAACCAACTATTCAACTGGCGTTCGAGCTGCCATCCAGTTAGGAGCGACCAAATCGTGCACCATCAAGCATGAATGTGGGGGAAAAAGAACAAGTGTTCATTTTATTTACAATTGAAATTGAAATCAAAATTCTTTGAAATCAGAATTGGAAAAATATATTTTCTTAACCTATTTTGTTCAGACAGGAATCAGAATGAGAATTAAAATAAGTTTGAATAGGATTTGATTCCCAAGGAGAGAGGAAACAACGACCATTCCCTCGGAGAATGCCATTACACCAATAATGAAAATGGGATTCCTCTATTCCCATGAACTAAATGAGCCGGCCCTATCTGTAATCGGTATTCTTTTAATTAAAAAGACAAACAGCTTGAAATTTGAAAACAGGGGCAGACTGCCTTTTTTTTCCAAACTGCCAAGCTTTGCAGTCATAGATTTCTAATTCATCTCTTCTTTCGACGAATCCTTAATCTGAAGTGGATCAGTCTTGGATCTTTGATGTGGGATCATCTAACTCGTCCTTGTATTCAACAGTTATTTTTTATTTATTTCAGTAAACTATATCTTATAAATTTACCTTTTGTTTCTGATGGCTTAATTCATCTTGGTTCTTGCCTTCTTTCAGCAACCAACCAAAATATGGACCTGAGCCTAATACAGTTTGCCCATAAATTGGAATAGATTTGCTCCTCAGATATAAGGCATCCTATATGAAGTTGGGGTTATACAATAAAGCAACCAACACTGTCGAAACTAAAAGTCCAATGGAGAGCACACTGATCTGTCATCAACTGCAGGGTCATCTTCATTCTGTCTTTTGGATTTTTTGACTTGGTGGATAGGGTTGCTTCTGTTAATTCCTTTGATGTGGTTCTCAAGGAATTGCTTTCTCAATTTTTTTTTTTTTTTTTTGTATGGTTTTGATGCATGTCAGTGTTTGCCGACTTTTGTTTCATTTCTCATTGATGTCTTTGTTCATGTTAAACATGGAGCTCCTGTTTCACCACCTGCTTTACATGTTTAGACCTTTAATAACTTGATTTTTATAGCATATATGTAATGGGAAGTTAAGAACTCACTCACTGCAACAAAACGTTAAATGATATATATATATATATATATCAAAATCAAGTTCTTAACTTCCCAGGTGGATCTTGACAATCTAGATGAGAAAGAGTTCACAAATGTTCTAGGCTTGGATTTTGTGGATTGCATTTTAGAAGGTGAAATGCTTTATATTCCTCCAAAATGATGGCATTATATGAGATCTCTGAGAACAAGTTTCTCCGTTAGCTTTTGGTGGATGGCCGTAACTCTCTAGGCTCCTAATTGCTTATTCTATCTCATTTTGGCATGGTTTTCAAAACCGGATCGGACCGGACAGTCAGACCGGAAAAATTGGGAATCAGTCATTCAGTTTTCTCCAAAATCGAATTTTTGTAAAAAAGAATGTTGATTTAGTCAATAAACTGCTGACCCGGGCATTGACACCATTTGGCGGTTTTGACCGTTTTTTTTTTTTTGTCAGAACAAGCTGTTCGTTCGGTTCCAACGGTTATACCATTCGACCCGGGAACTGGACCCTGACCGGTTCATTGTTCAGATCAGTTTAGAATCCTTGCATTTTGTTTTTGGTTCATACTTGTGTTGTAGCAATACAAAGCTGTCTTCAATTGAATGAATGATGTTCTTTTTGTTGGAGCTAGAGGTATAAATCAGGTCGTGTTATCCGTGACTCAACACAGCCCGACACGACCATCTGTGGGCCATGCCAGGCCCGGCATGACCATGCGGGCCGTATTGGGCCTGGGGTTTTAGGTCCACGGGTTGGCACGGCACGACACGACCGAGCGGGCCGTGCCACCCATGAACCTGCTTTTGGTTCTTTTTAATGGTTAAGCTGGAACAAAGACATCAATGAGAATGTATTTTACTATTGAATATATATATTAAATGTTGATTGTTTTTAAAATTTGAATAATTTTTTATATCAATGAGGACAAGTTATTTTTCACTTCAAATATGTGGGCTTCAATGAATTTTAATTCTTGATTTTATTTTTCACTACTGAATATGCTATTAATTATAGTCAAGATTTATTACACATGCCCAATCATCTACATTAGCAACTGGGTTAAATAAGGGCGAGGTTGGTATCAGAAGAGTTTTTTTGCCCCATCATCTACTTGATTGGTCAAAACTTTTTTTCGGATATCATAATTTGAAAAAGTGAGGGGATGTTTCAGTATTTACTTTAAATATCAAGGGGGGTTTAAGTTTTTTACCCAATCTTTCCTGTGTCATTATAAAACTATCTCACACACTTGGATTAATTATAATAGATGGATGGCGTACCAATTGACAGTCTTCTGCTCGTGCCTCGTGGTTAGCATGAGCCCCGTTCCCCTACGTTTATATTCTAATTCCAGGCCTCTCTATTCTCATGAACTAAATGGGTGGGCCCTAACCGTAGAACCCAGATTTCCTGTACTCTATTTGATGTGAGATGTGATACACTTTCAATTAAATCCAACCACGTTCCACTCTATAATCTGCACATGTGAGATGGAAAGGCATATAGAGTGGGGAACGTCATTGAATTTCATTGGAAGTGTATCAGGTCCCACACAAAATAGAGTTCAGGAAATCTGGGTGTAATCGGTATTCACAAACAGCTTGAGATTTGAAAACAGGGGCCAGATTTTTTCCAAACTGCCAAGCTTTGCACCCATAGATTTCTAATCCATCTCTTCTTTCGACGATTCCATCAAGAATTAAGATGATCAAATACAAGACAGGGTCTCAATGTATGGATGAATGTCATCCCAGAAGTATCGCAGTACAGAATCCTTAGCAGGGTCTGAAGAAACACGTAGCAACTGGGTGCTCTTATCCTTGAGACTGTAAGAAATGACCTTACCAGGTACATGCAGCACAAGCCAGGATTCTTCTTCTTCTTCTTCTTCTTCTTCTTCTCCTCCTCCTCCTCGAATTAGATTCAATACAGAGTATTGATAAAAGGGTACGGGTATTGGGAAAAACCTTGTATCTATCTGATGACCAGGAGCGAATGGAAGTATCTCTGGAAATTCATATATTAGAGCATCGAGATCCACCTGGTATTTCACAAACCACCCAGAATAGTCCTTCTCCATCTCTAACACAGCGAAGGAGGTAGTCTCGGGGCCAAACGCTTGATGCCTGACATTGGCCACGATAAGATGCAAATGACCTTGGGATTCTCCAAAGTACAGATAGCCCCTTCTATTCAGAGCTTGAGTTAGCTGCGGCAATGGTGGCATCGTTCTCAGACACTCTCGCTCAACATCAAAGCATAGGAAAGTATCCGGCTGACGGATCCAGTGCATTGCACCATTCCAGAAGACCCCAGGAGTGAACTCCTTACCATATAAATTGAACGGCTCTCCACAGAGTCTCCAATGCCCGGTTTCAGAGGAGTAGAGCTCGATCTGAAAGCTGAGAAGATCAGAAAATTCAGGGTTTAAAATTAGGACGACTTTGTAGTGAGGTGATCTACAGGGATCGAAAGCTATGCTCGCAGAAGACACCATTCCCACAGAAGGCCGGAGTGGAAGTGTTCTGTGTTGCTTCGTGGCTGGGTTATGGACGTGATAAGGGACTAACCCACTCAACGTTCCGATTCTACCAGAGCACAGAAGTAGACCATTGCAGGAATGCAGTACTTCAACAGCTACAGGATCATGAAGATGTGTGAAGGGGATGTCAGCTGCAATATTCCCGTCAAGAAGAACAAAGTCAAGTTGTGGATAAATGGCTCTAGAGAGTCCAGTAGGAAAGAAGAACCCAGAGACAGAAATGGGGTTTCGACGGTTGTATTCGTGAATGAAGAGGGGATGGGAGATGAGAAAGAGCCATTGTTTGGAGACTGACTTGAATCTGAGAAGACATTTGATGGGAAGATGTAAGAGGATCTCAGAGACAAGGTCTTCACTGTTGGCAATAATGGTAGTTGATGAGCTACTTGTGTGATCAGATTGCTCTTGGCTGTTGGCATGCATGGAAATCACACTCATAGCTAATGTCTCCTGTTGAGGTTCTGCTACATCTTCGTCGTCGTCATCTCTATCAGTACAGAAGATAAACTTAAACCAGGCCATACTCAAGACATATCAAAGGACAGAGATCACTGCGTTACAAGGATTAAGGCTATATAGGGAGGAATATAGGCTTCTCTTTAATCCTCTAGAACTAGAAACTAGAACAATTTTAAGCACGTTGATGGTGCAAGAATCTCATGCTTTCAACCATTTTACCAAATCAATCAACAATAAAGGAAAAAAGAAAGAGAAAGAGCAAAAAAAGTTCTCTTTCGCCACGGGAGGGCTGCAGGTGTTCACCTTTATAAGTTGGCACTTTTCCTTTCATCCGTGGCCATGACCCACTTTCCTTGAGCTTCCTTCTCAGTGAAGAATCTTCCGTTATTGCATTCTGCTTCCTTCTCCATTTCTCCTATTGACTTCTTTACACGCAAAAGCTGAAGTTTGCTTTGAAAAAGAATAGGCCAAGTGTCTTCCAGCTGAAGATGTTAGCTTTGTGACATGGGAAACTTTTTGAGTTAATTAAGATACGTTAAAGGGGAAGCAAATAAAAAATAGTTTAATACTGTAATGCCAAGTATTTTACAGTTTGGTGAATCGAATATAGATTGATCACCTTGTCCAAATTAAATCAATGGCAGACCTGCTCTCGGGCTTTGCAATTCGTCGGACCAACCAAATAGATGAATTAATTAGCTAAATCAGCCAAGAAACATTAGATGATTGCATCCACTCTGTCAGATCATATATATTTCTTAGTTACCCCTGACCACTTGTAATTTAATTTGACAAATTGTCGAAGCTTTCTGAATTTTCTAGCTAGCTTCAAAAAACTGTAAATTGAACCCATGGTTTTTGAACTGTCGATGATTTGGACAGTCGGACCGTTCCGCCTAGGAATCGTTCAGGCAATCGATTCTGTTTTATCTCAAATACAGTCCCTGGTCAAAAGTCGTTGAATCAGTTAATAATTCATTAATTCGAGTAGTCAAATCATTAACCATTGACCCGTTCAATAGTTTTTAGCTTTTTTATTTTTTATTTTATAAATTTTTATTGTCAAAACAACGTCTGTTCAGACCAGATGATCAAATCGTTGACCTAAAAACTGGTGGCCATAACAATTCTGCCTCTGGATCATTTTTTAATACCACGATTAAACCAGAAAAGCCTGAGGTTATAGGGATGGTAAAGTATAAAGGATTCATTTCATTGTAGTTTTATGTAGTATTTGGAGTTGGAACATACTGTGTTGGCCATCTAAAATGCTTGGCATCATTTCATGTTTTTAAAGGAGTATGGATCAATTAAAGAAAAACAATGGATAATTCCAGTACCAGCAATTGACTAATTTTAGATACCAAATGAAAAACCAGAATCTATTCCCTTGTGCTCATTTAGGGGTGAATTGAGTTGCAACTTGGCAGAAGCAATTTTTGTCCACACCAAAAGGTAGGCGCAACAGAAGTCCAATGCATCTCAATCTGGCGCAGTTGGGCCTGTCAATGATGCCCGAAAATTCAGCGCCTGATCTGATGGATTCGGATGATGTGTTATGCAATTAAATCAGATTTGGATTTTGCAATTTGTGTCTGATTAATAATCGGATCAAATTTGGATTTGGTTCCATGATCCGATTAAAATCTGAATCCAATTATATTGATTTTAATATATAAATTTTCTATAATTATATTTAACATTATAAAAAATATACTTTTATATATTGTATTATATATGAATTTATATATATAATAAATTCAGTATGTTACATGTACATTAATTTATTATATCTATAAGTAAAAAGTAATTAACTTTTAATTTGTTTGTATTTTAAAAAATTAAAGCGGAATTATATTAAATATAAACCTGACTGAGTACATTAATTTAAACCTGACTGGATCAGATTTAAATACAAATTTTAAAATCAGATTGGATTCGGATTTTTCTGAATCCCATCCAATTACCGCCCAGCCTAACCCAAATTATGGGTTTGGAATTTTGGGCTTCATTATGAACTTGGGCCTTGAAAATCAAGTTTGATGTCAGCTTGGTCCGAGGCCTCGCGTAGCTAAAACCTGGCCTGATCTAACCTGAGTCCACCCGCCTTCTATAATATATCCATCTACAATTATGCATTAAAGTGGATATTTTTTTTCTTTCTGAAAGCTAGAATTATGTATCTGTAAGTACAGACATTCCATGTAATTATACTTCAAGATATAAACACTTGGAATATGACATTCAGCCTAAGCCTCGAACGCACATACTCCCTCCAAATCAATTAATCAAATACTAGCCCAAGGGGGCGGTGAGTGGGCGTTGATACAATCGATTGCGGGATTGTTTAGCTTTTGCTCGTCCTCTTTGTTTTCTTTCTTTCGTCACTACCATGCAAAGAATCCAACCAGGATCAAATAAAAATTGAAATACAATATTGAACTTCCCTGTCCATTGACTTCCCCGATAACTAGGTGGCTGTGGCTGTGGCTGTGGCTTGTTTAAGTAGAAAGTGTATACTGCTTTTGTGCCGAATCCAAGGAAATACCAATTATGTGACAAGCACAAAATTCGAACCCCAGAAGAAAACAAAAAATTGTTAAAATTCCCAAGTCCATAAATTAGGAATAGAACATATTACACTCCATACGCTAAAGCAAAAGTTTTATTTGATTGCTTAGCTATGACTATGAGACAATACAAATATGGAGAGATGGAAAGAAGGCATAGCCTCTGAGATTTTTATCAAACACAGGAGGTGTATTTTATTTTTGCTCTCAGTTGAGACGAAGATTCCGAGAAAACAATAACCGTTGAAGGCCCCGTACTCAATTTCGAGAAAACAATATTTAACACAAGTCACAAGCCATGAATAAATTCTCTTCTCCGGGAATGAGTTCTGAGAGAATAATGATCAACCCAACCCAGAGTGATCAACTAGCAAGTGGGCCACGGAGGGGAAGAGGAAAGAGGAAAGAGGGTGGTATAAATGGGCTGTTTTTGGAGTGAGAGTAAAGGACATATATGCCATTTTTTATGCCCGTTGTATGTTACTTAGATAAAGGGTAAAAATGTCTAATGAAAAGTCCAGAAAATAGGACTATTCACTCTTTTATTGGTAGTATAGATTCGTTGATGTAATAGTTTAATTTTTTTCAAACCATAAATAATATAAATATATTGCTCTACCTCTACGCTGACAACCTTGAGTATTTATTTGTCAATGTATAACCTGAAGGAACATCAAAATGGTAATACAGAACTAAGAAACAAAAAAAACCCTATGGATCCATTGTTTATAGGGAAAAGGCTTAATATCGGAAGTCACTACATCTGCTGCTGCTAAGTTTCACTTTCTAAGACCTCCCAGCCTCTCTAGGCACCAAATACAACTTACCCACGACATGCAAAATTGCAACAAAAGCTATGAATCCAATGCTCATGACAAGCACCACGTTCGGAGAAATCTTAAGCCCTGGTGCATCGTCTGTGTAGAATTGGAGCATGGTGCCACTTGCTCCTCCGGCAGTCCCACCAGAGGTTGTCCTTCTCCTTCGCAAGCTGGCAGCTGCTGCTGCACTTCCCCTTGGAGGAGCTGCACCGTTTGCAACCATTTCTGTTCAGACCTATTTCAAATACGAAAGAGAAAATGTGAGGATCAGAAATGAAAAATAAAAAGGAAAGTGGTTTCTAGTATTCATAACCAAATAGCTTTCTCAGTAGCAAAAACAGATTTAGGTAAATCAAAATTAAATAGATTAAAACCAAAACTAATGCAATTTGAACATGAAATGCAAAAGGATGCATAAATGAGAATAAACAATAAAGTGGTTTTATATCATCTGTGGGTTTAAAAGGAAGAAGTGAGGTGTAGACCTCAAAAAACGGTAAAGTCAAATTGGGTATGAAAAAACGGTAAATCCCTACACACAGTAAAAAGAGAACTATTTCAACATATAAGCATATAAGTTGATTAATTGCTTACCAAATGAGAATAATGAATGTGATGGGTGGAAATGTATTATTTGAACTACTTCCTGTCATACAGAGATAAGAGGAAAAGTAAATCAGTGTATAAGAAAAATACACTGTAAATGCATACAATGATAAAAATCTCAGCAGCATTATTCAAACATGTTAATCAATTCAAAACGATTTCCTCAGTCATCTACATAGAAGAATAAAAGTTACGATTGGAAGGATATCAAGGTTATATTAATGTATAGAAATCTATATGTTAGATATATCTCCCATCTTATTCTGATAACAAAAAGAGAACAAAACAAACATTATATTCAATTTTACTCATCCTCTAAAAGAAATCCCCAAATGGTGTGTCTTAAATTTGAGAAAAACCAAATATGATATAAGAAGAAACATGAACAAGCGAAAGAAATGGAAAGAAGTCTATCAAATAAAGCTCTGTACTGATACAAGAAAAATGCATCCCAAGAATCAGAGGTTGCTCAAAAATGAGTCAACTGAAAAAATACACCCACTTCAGATCAATTTCTAATAAGGCCGCTTACAAAAAAAAAAAGGTACAACAGCTGCAATCAGGTTTAGCTAAATCCCAGGAGATGAAAAGACAACCTAAAATTAAAATTTCACTAAAAAGTAAAAACTAAATTTCAAGAACAAAAATAACAAAATTTTGAGATAAAATCATTCACGAAGTACAATAATACAATATGCAGTCCATTCTGCTAAAAACAAAGACTATCAAACCTATTATTGAACGCTAGAGCATGGTCAAAGCAGAAAAGGAAAAGCAAACCCATCAATTCAATCTATACATCATTTTATAAGACAGCATGCAACAAAACACAAGTACAATATAAACAAAAGCAGGCAAATAAAGAATAAATGAATCCACTAAAAAGAGTATCCAACTATTGAATACAAGTTTTTAATTAATATCTCCCTTTAACTCATTCCTCTTCCCACATAAAACCCTGATTCTGTTACTCCTTTGTCAGAGTCTTCAGCTTCTGCACAATCTTTGTATACACATCCTAAACCCAATCAACTCCCTAATTTAAAATCTATCCTTACCTACTCTTCCACATTCCACCCCGCACGAGTCAACATGTTATCCTCTATTAAACTCTACTCCCACATATGATCTTCCAAACAGATCCAGATATTAGCTATCACTTTGGCTAATTCCTCGGCTAGGAATGACATGAGGAGGTTTAAGTTGCATTAGGGCTTATATCTCCCAGAATGGTTTCTTCTCACTGTTCTTTTGGTTTTGTAGAAGTTTGTGGTTTGCTTCCCTCTGCTATGGTGCTCATAGAGTCATAGCCTTACATGGAGCACACTCTTACTTAATTATTGTACTCCTTTTCATTAACGCTGTTTTAGTTACTGACCAAAACCAAAAATAAAATAAAATTCTCTACTCCTACATGAAATAGTACCTAAAATTAGGTATCTCCAACCCAATTCTTGAGCCGCAAGTTTCACATTTTAAAGAGGTTAGGGTCCATTACTTGGCACAAAGGTAAACACTTGGGCTCACAAGTGTGAGAATACAAGTTAGAGAATAGAGTGGCCACTTAGTGCCCCTCCCAAGGCCCCAGCTAAATGTTGCATGGGCACAAAAAACAAGAAATTTATCTTTTCTACTTGGTAACATTTTATTAGGAAAAAAAATAGACTGATCACATACATTAGCTATACATTTATGGTCCGTTTGATTGCAGAGGAAGAATGGGATGAGAAAGGAAAATTTATTCTCATTGTGGCATCCTGTGTTTGGTTGCTAAGACCAATTATCCTGCAAAATTTGTTTCCCAGTGTTTGATTGCTGACAAAATTTTGCCGGATGCTTGATTTCATTCCCCTTTGATAAATCTATACATTAACTAACTCCACAATACAAACTCAAAAACCTTGAATATTACTTGCCACATGGCATGCTGACATGGAAAACCTAAAAACTCTTAACAAATAAGATTTTTAGATTAAGGAACCATTAGGTTCGGTTAGTTGGCTTTGAACTAAGAACTGATTTATCCAGCCACAGATTTATAAAATATATAGAATTTCCATCCACATTCGGATCTGCTTTCATACCAAATAGCATAGGCACAAGAGGGTGAAAATTCTAGAATAACAAATAGAAATTTAACATTTCCTCTCAAATCTACTGCAATGCCCAAATAATTCAAATAAAAAGTAGAGAAAAGAAAAAAAGATGGAATAAGCCCACTTTTCAAAGGAAAAAAACAAAAAGAAACATAATTTACAAAGCATCATTCATGATTGAAAATAGCCTCATCAAAGAGTTTACAGGTTCTCAAACTCCCTAACCATAAAAAGCAAAGAACAAATGGAACAAACTCACTACTTGAAGTAAATGTACTCTACAAAGCATTATTCACAGTTGAAAATAGCTCCATGTAAGAGTTTACAAGTACTCAAGTTCCATGGTCAAAAAAGCAAAGAACAATATGAACATATAAAGCTATAGGTTAGAACATTAAGAAGAATAAGAAATTCTTTGGAGAAACTTTCCAAGTAAAGGGTGGTAAATTAAATTGCTACCACAAACTGCTTCTTTGTTTATAGACTCAAAAAACCATTGAGAAGCTGAATGATACATATAGTCAAAGGAAAGGGTTTCTAATGGATTAGGTAGATGGGCTAGTCTAAACTGAATTCTGAGGTGTCCGCACAACTTGTCTGGTATATATTACCTATTCTTTTACAAATTAATAAAGACGTTGCTGCGTTAAAGATTAAGAAAATGTTACAAATGTTGAAGAATGAAAAATGTCTGCTCATCCAAGTTAGGAAGGATAAGAGGCTGGTTTGAGGTTCAAAATCATTTGCACTTTTTGACATTTTAGATAATACAATCTTTCTATCCTGCGTGCCTGCCCAAAATAGAAATGATCCTTGAAATATGGTCTGGATGATAAAGCCTGATTATTAGACAGGGTTATCTCCTGTTTGTATCTTAAGCAACCACTATGTATCTGAATCTCTTTGGGATCGGGTGGAAGAAATCAACCAACTTTTACAAGTTGACCATTTTGAAATGTACAAATGTAAAACACGTCTTACTTTCAGTCCCATAACAGGGAACCATGTCTACTGAAATAAAGAAAAATATGGAGAGAATAAGGTATTTCAGATCAGAAAAAGTGAAGGGTAGGATACTTTTGAGGAAGCAAACATGAACCATGGGTAATAGTTTGAACATAAGACTTTTTTGAGTGGTTAACTCAGTGGAAGATCATCCACATTTAACAAGAAATATGCTAGCCATTGGAATATTTTGAAGCAGTCTACAGTCCTACATGACTATACCCAAGCATGAAAGAATATTTTAAGTGCCCAGAATATTTAAACTTTTAAACAAGAAAGATGAACCTAAGAATACAGATGAGGAGAGAGGCTAATGTATTTGCTGATTATTTAGCAAAGAAAATGGTAAATAGGGGTCAATTGTACTGGGACAAAAAGGGAATAAAATCCTCTCGACTCTCCATAATCTCCATATTTTTGGAGCCAATATATCCCCCTCAGAGTTAGGCATTGAAGATAACCCTTAGTTTCAGCAATGCACAAACTGTGGGAAGTAGGATTAGTGTTTCACAATAATCATAATTTATAGACTTTCAACCAATCTTCTCTACTATTTATTTTCTCTTCTTGCACATGTTTTTCCTCTCATTTGAATTCTATTGAAAAAAGAAATATATCTCTTTCATTCTCTATCTAGGAAATAACATATGAAGAACCTATCAAATCCCCAATCCTATTTGGCATCGCCAAATGTTGTATCAGCGGTGGGGGTGGGGGGGCTTCACAATAAAACGAAATTATTTGAAATCCTTGGCCATCCAGACAGAATTTCAATTTGTCCATATTTTTGTGAGGAATTATGATCATCCATTGACTTCTAATAGAATTCCTATTAACCCACCAAGAATAAACAGAATAACCCAGATAATACAATGTAGACAAAGTTTCAACCCGAAAAACCTAGTCATACAGAAGAAGAATCATCACATCCTGAATAAATGTTTTCATCAAAAAGATCAAAACATGCAGAAAACAAATCTTTCCAAATCCAAGACCCTATGGAACCAGATAGATCTACGGGCCTGAAAACAATCGAATTCGAGGCTAACAAGGAACAAAACTGCCAAATCAGGAATGGATTAAGCAAAATGAGGAACATGGAAACAACCGATATACATAAAGCACCATGTCAGACATCACTGATTACAAAAAATAATAGAAAGAGAGAAAGATCTAAAAGTGAAGTCAAATCGGAATGTTTGTCTCTTTCAGATGTAAAGATATAGATGCAGATCAAGCAATTCTCAGATTCAAATATTTGAAATGGAAATTGCTAAGACCACTTACTATCCCTCCCTCAGATCCGTTCTATCTGATCAAAACAGAGATTTAATCTAAATTTCTTAGGACAACCTGTATTTTATCGATTCACAACACAAATCGACCTCCTTTTTATTTGTATACGATAACAAAACAACTCCGATCGACAGAAAAGAATTAAGTTCGCCGTGCAGTTACCTGAGATCTCGTCTCCGCAGTAGAAATCCCTATTAGCGCATAAGCGTTTCTTCAGCGTCGGAATATATGAATACGCGTGAGCCGGGGAGGGGGGTATTGCAACAAGAGTCGTCGTTCGTGTCCTATTTCGAAGCTCTGAGTATCTGTTCAACTGGCTACACAGATGTCGTCTACTCAGCCTATTGACCACGTCATTCTTCCTGGCGTGGCCTATTTGGAACCAATCGTTACTTTCCACGTGGAATTTCTGTTCTTCCACGTCACATGCAGCAAGTATCTTGTCTCAAATAGAATATTTCTTTAAAACTCACCATTACTTTTCAGCAAATCGTCTAAAACTCATTATGACTTTTCGCCATTTCTTTAAAACTCACCATTTCTTTAAAACTCACCTTTCATTAAAGCACCGTTAAACAGAAGTTGATTTTTTTTTGAAAAATTTATCATTTTCTTGTTTTCTACAATTTATTACTTTTATCTATATAATTTTTATCATTTTATGTATATTTGCAATTTCTGTCTTTATCAAGTTTTTTATATTTTTCGAGTTTTTTTGTCTTTTCAGTTTTCAATTTTCTTGTTCTTTGCATTTTTAATGTTTTGTTATAATTTCTGTTTTTTTACATTTTCTATTTTCTACAATCTATAAATTTTCTTGTACTTTTGTTATTTATTTGCAATTTCTGTGTTTTTCTATAATTTTTGGTGTTTTTTCTACAATTTTTATTTTCTGATTTTGTTTTTCAATTTCTATACTTTCTATAACTTAAAAATATATTTTATTTTGTTTGCAATTTCTATAATGTGTTATATTTTTTGTAATTTTTGTGTTTCTATATATTTTATATTTGAAAATATTTTTTTGAATGTTTTCCTTTTTTCATTGTCTTTCTTAGTTAAAATATTAAAACATATATGTATATATTTTATATTTTTCTACGAAGGGTAAAATGATAATATATTAACACCCATTAGTTAGTGACATTGTGAGTTTTAGACATTTTGAAAAGTTATGATGAATTTAAGAGAAATGCTTTAAAGTCGATAATTTCCCTTTTATAAATTATAAATATGTGAATAGGGTTTTTAATATTAGCAATTAACCACCCCAAGTTTCTAAATTTACTCTGCACCACATTTTTTTGGTTACACAAAATTACTCTACACTCGCTCAAGCTTATTTGATTTACATCCTACCGTGGCCAAAGCCCTAAGTTGGCTGCATGTATGTATGTATCTCATGGTTCGGTTGGGCTCTTTTTTAATTCATATCGGTATAATCAGTTTTTTGCAATTCCCCAAACCAATACCACTCGTTAATGGGTTAATTCATTTAGTTTTCTGATTTGTTGGTTGTTTTTTATTTATAATGCATATATATTATAAATAAGTATATAAATATTATATTATAAATATATATAATGTGTATCAAGGTTTTAAAAAATAACCCAAAATCGGGAATGTACCAGTTTCTGAGTCAATGGTTCAACCATCTAATTTGAACAAATGATCCATCCCAAGTTAAAAATTAAAATAAAAAAATGGCCAAAATCGTTGAATGGGTCATTTGACCACCCGGGTTAGTGGGTTGTTAACCAAATCAATGGTTTTTAGCCAAGGACCGGATTTGAGGTGAAATGGAACCGTTCTAACAACCGGTTTCCAGGCCAAATGGTCTGACCATCAGGTCAATGATGGTTTGAAAACCATGATGACTATATATTTATATGTAATATATAAATAAAAATATATAATATATATAAGTCAATTCAGTTAACCACATTTTTCGATTTAACTTTTCGGTTTTATATAAGTACCTCTAGCTGCATGTACAAAAACAAACGGTTTTGATTTGAGTCTTTTGACAGATAATCAACAACCATGTCTATGGCCAAGAGATTAGGAGACCACATCTCTGCCCCACAATGCCTCATAGCACATCCCCATCGTGTATTGGGAACATCTCCCGATGATGATATCAAAATCAATAATGACATCATCAGGAGATGCTCCAATACACGGCGGGGATGTGCTATAGGGCATTGTGGGGTAGAGATGTGAACTCATAGATCAGAGGTGCAACCATTAATGTCCATGATTAGAACCTTGGAGTAAGATGGTAAACTATCAAATTAGCCAGGCCTCTCTAGCCAAAGCTTTACAATGCCCCGTTTCATCCCTTCAGGGCCATGAAGAATGACTAGTGTAGGCCCAACTGAAGTTGCAAGGGCTCAAATTCTAGCACCTCCTGAGTCTGATAATATTACCAAAGCCACCTGAGTTAAGTTAGGGATCTGTCAATATCCAAGCACCAGAAACCTTAAGAGGAGGTGAGCTTTGTCTATGAATAGATAGGAGAGGCACATATAGTAGGAGGCCTTCATACCCCAACCAGCAAAAAGGATCCTAGTGTTGAGATCATTCAGAACCTTCTACTTTATCCCCTAAAATCTAGCCAAAATGGATCCTCTAAATTGAACCACATGCTCCATTGAGTGGAAGTTGTTTTCAAAACACTACCAATTCCTTTTAGCCCATAAATGAAAATGACACCGACTCAACCAAACCACATGCTCAAGCCATCATTTGATTATCACAGATACCTCTACTTCCCTGAGGTAATTTCTATGAAGCTTACAAGAACTTTGACCAATCAGAACTCACCCGTGAAGTTTGATGAATTATAGTTGATTGGTTACCACTTTTATGATACTAATTGATGTTATTAGCTTTTTAGGTATCATGTCGTTTTAATATCATAGTCAAACTCATTTGTAAAATAGAATGTTATTACATGAATATTAAAATTTTCATGATGATAATTTTCTCATCGCTAATAATACAATATCCCCGAGTGTTTTCAATTAAAAATTCAAAATAAAAACAAACTTTTTAATAAAATAGTTGTAATTCCAATTATGTTATATGGAACAAAGTGTTAAGCATTTAGGAAAAAATGCCCAAAAAATTAATGTGGCAAAAATGCATATGCTCAAATGGATGGATAGAGAGCCACATAAGGTTATAAAATGAAGTCATTGGAAGAAACCTAGGATTAGCTCAAATATATAAATAATAAAGTGAGAGAAAGTAGAGTAATAAGATGGTTTGGTCACATGTATAGTAGTCCATCCATAGCACCCATAAGAGAACCTAGATTTCCTACTCACTTTTTCTACCTACACTCTACCCACCGTGAATTGCAGCCAGGAAATCCAGTTTTCCCTTAAGAAGCAATTCATTGCAAATTGAAGGGGCTAGAAAGGGCTAGGGTCAGAACCAAGGACATTGGTTTAAGTAGTAAGAAATTATTTAAGCACTCATAATTTAACAATGGACATGGCATTAAACAGAACAGAATATGACTTACACCCCATTTTGTATCCTTTTGAGACCTTTATTGCCTAGTCTCAGCTATAGGTCATTCCTTGGCCTAGACAATCTTGGCCACTATTGCTTGGATTGGTCCAAACCAATATAGACTTGCCTTCCAACAAACCAAGAATTATGTATAAGTACTATCAAAAATATCAATAATATTTAAATGAAAACAAAATTCCCAAATCATTAATAGCTTGTGGTGACTGAGTCAAATCTCCACAAAATATGTATAAATCAACCATATTGATGATTTGGTTGATTGCCATTCCATGTGATAACTCAATTTGATAAGCATTTGGCTCAGTTTTCTTTAAGATGTATCAATGACCAATATTCTTATACTTAAGCTTGTAATAGGTATCCATTGAAACCTTTCCTTAGATAAGCCATAACCAAATCTCCTTAAAATTCTAGGTGTCAACATTGAACGTTACAATTTCTTATTTGTATCATTCATTTGCTCCACAGAGCTCTAACTTTCTCTTGAATTTCATGTATGTGATTGCCAAGCTCTTTGTTCCATATTACTTCTCCCTGGGTTGGAAATAGATATTCTATCTAAGACATAACTTGAATTTCTTCCATACACCATTTCAAATGGGGTCTTTTGAGTAAATTAACATTTGGAATTATTGTATGTGAATTTGGCATTAGACATGATAAAGTCTCATGGGAAGGGCAATCGCTTTCTAAACATCAATATAAACCATTAAGAGAATAGTTTACAACTTCAATATATTTGGCCATCAATTTGTGGATGACTTGTACTTAAAAATTAGAGTTGAATGCCCATGAGTTTCTGTAAACTATATAAAAAATAACATATGAATCGCATATCTTTATTAGATGTGATGTTCATATTTGCAACTAGGGGTGGATTCAAGTGGAGCCAAATTGAATATCTAGTTATTCGAGCTTGACTTGTCAATAAACCATGCTTATACAATGTAACCTTTTTTTTCTTTTAGACAAACCAAGGGGGTGCTCTGTAGTATAGATGAGAAATTGGGTAGTGTCATCACACCCCCTTAGGTATTTTACAAGGTGTTGTACAATTCATTCCACATACTGCATTTTGATTCCATGTATCTCACTTACAACATGTAAGATAATTTATGTTATTAACATGTTCGTAAAAGCATAATACAATAGAGAAAACATAACACAAAATAGGGGTTTAACTTGTTCAATTAATAGGAGTTCAACAAGCTCAAATAAACATAAAAAAAGGATAAAAATAGTTTAGTAGCAAACAAATAAACAAATTATTATCAACAACAACAATAGTCATTGCAATGGCGAGTGATGGTGAGCTTCTTCTCAATGATGGAGTAGCAACAGCAAGCCTTGAGTACCAAGAGAGATATGTTACAACATTATAACAATATAATAGTCTTAGGGTAAAATGGAGATGAATCACTTACAGTGGCAGTTCGGTATAGAAATGGTTGGATTAGCAATGGCGAGTAATGTGAGATCGATTAACGATGATGGGATAACAGTAGAAAACCTTGAAAGTAAATAAGAGATATATTGCAATAGTAAAATAATGGGATAGCTTTTAGGGTAAAACATACCCTATGAAGCATGGGATCACTCACAGTAAAAGAATCCACAGTAGCATTGATCAATCCACGAGAAAAACCTGTTGATGATAAATTGTATTGTGGTGTGGATCAGTCTACACCACAAGCCAACTGAATACCCTAACAAGTCGTGGAGTGTTTCCAAACAGAATATATTGTGGTTAGATCAT